CGTCTGGATAACAGCAGACTGACTGCTCGTCAAATATTCGACAGGTCTGGACCACATGTGACTTTTATTCGCATCTGAAAAAAAATCTTAGAATACGAAAACATTGGTGAATGCCACAAATTCTCCTAAATCACTCATACGCACAACTTAAGAACAAATCTGTGCGTACGAACGGTTCTTGCATGAGGCCCAATGTCACTGTATTTCTAGTTCATTTCAATCTATGTTCCTAGCACGGGCGTCGAGTCTCCAATAGTTAGGGTAAATGGATTGACTTCTCCCGGGGATTCGCTCGGTGTATAAGAGTCCGAAGTGACTGACGGTAGACTCCACCGAGGCCCGGAAAAAGCCATCAGTCACCGGGAATCCCCTCTGAAGGATTAGCCATCTATGTTCTCATTTAGTTATCTGATAAGAAAACAGAAAACAGTTCAGCATCACTTTTTTCTTGTTTTTATTCTCATTAGTTATTGTAATTGGTGTCATTTCAACAGGAGAAAAAACTGCATACATCTACTTGACTTTTTAAATGCAATAAGTTTTGCGAGGGAGGAGCAGGAGGTGAGGGAGAGGCACACGGAGAATGGGGGGATGCGGAAAAAACACAGAAGCAAACAAACAGTCGCATTTTTTGGGGGGCGCGGGAACAGTAATTGGGCAGGGCGCAATTCATACAACCATTGGATTGTGGGGAAAAATGAAAAAAAAAAAACTGAATCACTCAAACACCTTTTCCCCAACAGATATGCCAAGAGCAGAGTTCTTTCAACTTGTTAACATTTCTTTGAGAAGTGTCTTTTTACATTTTTTAAGGCTTTTTTTAAAAGTATACTCTAGAACTTCTTCATTCTAAACATCGAAACAAAATGTTTCCAGTGGCGTTCTCCTTAAACGTCTCAGGATCTGTACCAAATACACACACGCACGCACGCACGCACGCACGCACACACACACAAATTTTGGACTAGCAGCACTTTCTGCTAAATATCAGGGACCAAGTTGTACCTTGAAGTTAGTGCAACGTTAGCCTTCACTAGTGGAGTTAGCTCTTTACTGCTTACCTTTCACAATGAGATAATCTTAAAGGTTTCCTTTCAGGATGGATGTTTGCGGAATGAGCTCCAGTGTTTAGTGCAGAGCAGCTGAGCAGGTTCAGGTGAGTAAGGCTCTTTGACAGGACGGAGATGCGTTCTTTAGCGACACCAAAATTAGTCTCGAACATTGTCACCAAGCATTACACCGTAAACAACTATTAACTACAAAACATGAACGTTTTCATCTTTATCCAATAAATGAGGAAATAAGTTACTAAAATCAGTTTGGTAAAATACAAAAGAGCCTCTTTTCATATTTGAATCCGTACATGCTTGTCATAACATGACACAGTGCTTGCATAAATGCCATTTTTAGGGTATTATTTTAAAGCCGTAATTCTTTTAAAATGTGTTGAGAAGTGGAAGGTGACAGAGAACTTTTGTTTTATACATTTCTCTATATATTTGTTTAATATATCATGTCTTGAGTGACAATAATGACTCACAGTATGGACGCTTGTTTTGTTAGGAGATCTGGCAACCATGCATGTTTACTGAGCAAGAACAAAATGTGCAGCATGGTGTACTTGTCATGTATTTTTTTTGTTTGTTTGAAAGTAGAAAAAAAGGCTGTAACTTTGTTAAAACTTTGACCTAAGGCCAGCAAAACCAATAGTCGGTTTGCATCTATCAGTGGATTTCCCACTTAATCTAGGACCAGCACTCAATCTACTCTATGCAACACCGTTCAAATAAAAAAAACAAAATAAATATCCACAGAAATAATCTTAAAAGCACATGTTCAGGGTTAAAATAGACAACAAACAGGATAAATAAGACCAAAACTACAATAGCTTCTAACTCTAGTCTCTATTTAAAGTGGAGTGATGGATCTTGAAGTAAAGATGTTTGGAGGCTGTGGTTCAGCTGAGCAGCCGTGAACATTTTGTTTCAGGATGGCAGGTGAGAGCATAAAAGTTCGGAAAGGGAAAGATGAGGGTAGTCTGGGGGTGCGGAGTGGCGATCTAGAGATCCAGTGTTCACAAACCCTGCTTGGCCAGGGCCGCGGTGACGTCCTCAGCCAAGGTTGCTAACTCAGGAGACTCCATCATGTTGAGACTGCCCGAGGACGACAGGTGGCTTTCCCGGAGGCGCTGGGGAGACACCGAGCCGGATAAACCAGGCGACTGGACGACGATGTCCGCTCCGTGGTCCACTCGAGCCTTTGCCTGCTCGCGAAATGTCAACCTGTGGCTCTCAATCTYTAAAAGGCAGGTGGCATCATGTGAGAATCATTGAAACAACAGCTAAAACAGTCTCCATGCTAGCCACTGGTAACAAATAAGATTTTTTTTWAAATTATATTTAAACTTTAGACTAACTTTTTAAACTAATGATTAATCTGCACTGAAAAGAGTTTGACTGATTGTTACAAAACAAAAGCTTTTTGACACTGAGTTTGAATTATCAGACAAACACTGAACTGTGGAGGACTGAAACTGACATAATTAGAAAGAAAAGCAGAAATATTTCAATAGAATAAATAAATACARTTAAAACACATCAATTAAATTAATCAAGGAGAGCCTTACCTGATGTTTTATAATTTAATTGACTTTCACATTTATTTTTCCAGCTTTGTTTTGATAAATTAATATCCTGATGCATCTCAGTAATCCAGGTAAAAAATCAAAAAGAAAAAAATTGTATAGGTCTTCTGGACGGGTTCTTCTCTAATGAAACGTTTCGTCTCTCCTCCAAGAGACTTCTTCAGTCTGAGTTTCAGGCAAAATTCAGGCTTTTAAGCCCTGCCTCCATGTGACTGATACTCACATCACATGGCTATCGTTGACACCTAATTAACACCTATTGTTAACAGGGGGTGGAGTGATACTGGCAATAGCAGCACTGTAGGAGGGGGACAACTGAAAACGGAGGCCTCCACCTCTGTTTAATGATGGACGGTCTTTCTTCACAAAAATGGCTTCTTTTACTCCTCTCTCAAACCAACGTTCCTCTCTATCAAGAATGAGAACATCCTCATCTCTGAAAGAGTGACCGCTGGCCTGTAAATGAGTGAAAACTGCAGAGTTCTGGCCATTAGATGTAGCTCGTCTGTGTTGGGACATTCTTTTGATGTGATGTGAGTATCAGTCACATGGAGGCAGGGCTTAAAAGCCTGAATTTTGCCTGAAACTCTCAGACTGAAGAAGTCTCTTGGAGGAGAGACGAAACGTTTCATTAGAGAAGAACCCGTCCAGAAGACCTACATAATTTTTTTCTTTTTGATTTTACCAAATAATTTAAATTTACTGTTCTTAAAAGAATTTTTTTCTTTTTACAAGTACATGCATTTGTGTCTATTAAATGTTTCTATTTAAATATTTTGTATATATTTTCTTCTCATAAAAAAGGAGATAGAGAAATGTAAATACAACACAAGGAATTACATAAAAAGACTTGTGATTTTTTAAAAATAATTTAAATATAATCATTTAAGAGACACAAATGCATCTAGAAGTAAAAGGAAAAACAAAAAAAAAAAKATATATTTTTGAAAACAGTAAATTTTAAATTATGTGCTAAAATATATCATTTATTTGAACAAAACTGGAAAAATTAATATGAAGGTCAATTGAACGTTAAAACATGAGGTAAAGTTCTCCATTTTAATTTTAATCAGTACATTTTAAGTGTATTTTTTTTATTAGTCCATTCATAAATTTCTGCTTTTCTGATTAAGTCAGTTTTGGTCCTCCGCTTCTCAATGGGGATTAATAAATATGATTGAAAGCTTAATTGACATACAGATTTTTATTTTTATTTTATTTTATTCCCTTTTCCCATAATTGACACACTGGACAATCTTTGAAACCCTCGATGTTCTCCTCTAAATGATGGATTGGAAGCATTGGTTGGACACTCACCATAGTGTGACCTCCACCAGGAATGTGATGAGCATTATCCAGTGAACCCACCTTGGCTTGCGCTTTGTCTTTGAAGTCCAACTTTACGCTCTCTATTCGCACATTACCTCCCCCTGCGAAGAAGCAGAAGACGAGTAAAACCTTGGCAGTCAGAATTAATATCAGAAAATTCTTAGCTTCGGCAAGAAATAAAAAAAAAATCATGTCTGCTTGAGATTAATAAATTTACTGAAGACTGGGAAGGAGTCTGTGATGACTTTCTGTTTTACAAGCAGTAGAAATAAATTAGACCAAAGTTGAGAATGAGGTTTTTTTTTTTTTTTTTTTTTTTGCTAACAGCTAGGAGAGGTGCATTGCTCTTGTCTACATAAAGCTCAATGTTTGCAAAAACCCGTAGAAAATAAAAGTATTGAAATACACACACGACAGAATATTACCAGCAGGTGGCGCTGGAAAGACAAAGTAGTCGCTGCAACACCATGAGGGGAGGTGTAGTGATCAGTTTTCATATCTTAAAGTGAAACACTTTCACATATTTGTTTATTTATAATCATTTTAAAGTATTTATGTGATTCCAAAAGAAAAAAATAAAGAATAGTAACACTCTCATAAACATTGGGCCTCTTCAATTAAGTCCTTGTTTCTCTTATTATGAGATATTTTTTGAAAGCAGAGCAGCGAATTTAGTTGAATTTAATACAATGTGTGTTTGGTTTAATTTAATCAAAGTTTTGTTCAGATAAGGTTTTTTTTTAATGTCATATAATTTACACACTAAAGGTAGAAACACAAACTGCAGCAGTGACGCCAGGGACCAGACAAACACCTCCCACAGCCGGCCACCTGTGGACAAATCAATCGAGCTGTCAGTCCAAATGCAGTTCACAGCTCAGTTTGACTGTTGTTCTTTCAGCTCTCCAGGACACTGGAGAGTGTGAAAGCCTAATGTGATTAACTGCTTATTTAAGGGCTTCACATAAAATCGCAAATTAAAGTCATCATTTCATTTAAAACTAATGAGCATTTAGTGTTTTGTCAGAAAATAATGAACATTTACACATTTAAATTTATATGTATTTTCAACTTTTTGAATTCACAAAAATACTTTTATGATATATGACGTAAGGTGCAAGATAATTATAGCATATTACTGTATGAATGGTATTCTCCCTATGCATTCGTTTTTTACAGTTTGTTGTAAGTAAAGGGTGTGGGGCGTTGTTTGCAAAGCAGCTTGTGCTGAAAATAACATCAAAATGTCACATTAAATTTCAAACTAGGTTTGAAAAAGTTGTGTGGATTTTCTAAAGTCACTCTTTAACACATTTAAATAGTTTACTCTAAATGTCAAAGCTAAATGCTAAAAGTTAGCCTACGTTTAAAATATACTGACTTAAAGGGTCAGTAGATTCTAAAATAACATATTAATTATCTGGAAACTGAGGTTAAAATGGGGGAAAAAAGAATGAAACAATTTTTTGACGTTGCTTGTTTTTCACACTCAAAATTATTTGATCCAGTTGTAATGTATTTAGATCGAATAAACCCAGTGGCGGATCCAGGATTTTTCTGAGTAAGGGGCCATCAAGGGGCCACAATTTTCATAGAGGGGCCAAGTATTTGTTCAGCATCCTTGCATTTAAATCCCTGGTTTTGGTAAGGTGTATAAATTTTACCAGTCATATGTTCAAACACTTGTAATGTAATGTCATTATAAAAATCTTGAACAGTAAATTATCCTCAGCAATTTTATATGTATTTTTTACCGTACATAGATGAATTGCTCTCAAATGCACAGCATATGAGAAAATGCAGCCATCATTTGTCAGGTGAAAGACTTTTTTCTGCAAGATTGTTCAGATTTTCTTAAGAAGAGAAGAATTCTGTAAGATTGATTCATGCTGGACGTTCCTATTTGACTCATCAGTGCCTCTAGTGTTTGGACATGGAACTGCACACACCATCGCCAATCTCAGGCAAAGGACAGATGAGTTGAGCAGATTATTTGTTGAAGGAGAAGGGATTTATCATTTAAGGGGTCAATTTAATTTTAAATCAAGGATTGTTCAAACAACTCGAAAAGGGTTTAGTATTTCTGTTGGTGGAGTAAAACTGTGGAACAGTCTGAGTGTGGAACTTAAGGAATGCCCAAACATAAGACAATTTAAGGACAAGTATAGAAATATTATTTTCAAAAGATATAGAGATGCTCAGTGTGTCTGATTTTGTGTGTATATATATGTGTATATGTGTATATCTATGTATATAATATCGTTTCTTTTTTGTTTTGTTTTGTGGTTGCTTTGTTTTTGCAATATATGGTACGTTTGGGACTGCGTATATATGTTGTATGTGTATTCATTCATGTGTGTATGCGTATGTGCTGCACATAAATGTATGTTTATCTTTATAAATATTTTCTGTACTATATAGTTCAGTAGGTAAACAGATTGTTGTTTAAATCTTCATGAAACTGTGATTTTGAATAAGAAAAAAGAAGAATTAATTATTATTATTTTTTAATAAGCCATGGAGAAGGGTGGGATTAAATAAGTTRTTTTTACTTCTTCCCATTCCTTTTCAAATATGTTAATTTCATTATTATTTTTTTATATATATTATTTTGTTTTCCAAGTTTGAAAAAAAAAAAGGACAGATGAGTGACGGGACAGGGGCACTTCAGGGGGTCAATTAGATTTCAGCTGGGGCCAATGCCCCTGTGGCCCCGCCTCTAGAACCGCCCCTGAACAAACCTATTGTATCATTTACATGGACTGAGTGGTGCGTTTAGATAACACATTTTTATTTCGATTGGCTGTTTACTCTGATTACTTGTGTCCATGTAAACAAAGCTAATGACAAGACATTTTTTTGTCTAAAATCAGTAAATATGTTATGGACATTCCATCTTCTACATGTTACCCACCTCTGACTGCTTCTATTTCTATATTATTTTTCTGTTTTCAGTAAAGATTAGAAGGTGGTTTCAGCTAGCGGCCTGGATTTATTGCTTTTCCAGCCCCGCATGCATTATTATTAGCTGTCCAGTACAAAGCCTGAAGGTCAAATGCATTTTCATGTCATCAATGCCACCTTAAGCATTGCCGTCGAGGTGATGAACTTTGTACCTGGCCGATGATGGATGTTGTCTAGAGAACCGCATTTGGAGGTCACGTGGCTCAAGTCAATCTTCTTATTCTGGATTTGCACCTGGAAGAAGCCAAGGCCAGAAATGACGAGGTCAAAACTCAGAGAGCATTGCAAAGTTAGGTTGCAGCTGACACCAAAGTGTGCTCAATTTACTTTTCAGTCATTTGAGAGTGAGAAATACACTGAGATAAATAAATGACATACAGCATACCCAACTTCCTACATGTTAAAATGTGTGTATAAGCTACAAATGAAAGATTCAAAACATCAGAAACCAGTAAATACTTTATAACAATCCCTCTGTTGTGTTAAAAAGAAGACTGAAAGTTGTGCGCTACAACAGCTGTATTTCTTCAAAATGTTTTGGCGCATTCAACAAACTTGAGAGATACACCGTGACAGTGAGAAGGGTAAGCCAGTGAAATAGACACAATGGAATAAGCATTTGAAAGCAGCCAACAGGCATAAAAAATGTGCAAGGATATGGAAATATATGACACAGCAGGAGGACTCGAAGAGAACTTCACAAAGAAATGTGCAAGGGGTGAAGCGATGAGACAGCGAACACAGAGGAGTTATGAAGCTTTAGACACGGCACAATGAAGAGGGAGAGAAAGAGGACAGCCTGAAATGAATCACTGGGACAAGCCTGAGGTCGCTGATTTAGATGAAGTCATTCAATAATTATGATTTGTTCTCTTTTTCACCTATAAAGGGTAATAAGCATGTCCAAAATGTGAAACATTTAACAATAAAGACTATATATCATGTAAAACACACCATGTGAAAAGTGCAAAGTAAAATATGGCTCTTTTATGTTCTGCAATGATGGRGTTGATGATGTTAGTTTTTTGGGTTGTTGATAAATGACGTATACAGACTGGTGAACATGCTTTATGCTCTTAAACATATGAGGCAAATACAAGAAGCTAAAGAGCTAAAGAGTTTGCCATTTTTAGTGAATATTATCATGGACAATAAGGTCTGATGACGTTAAAAAATTAAAATTCTGAAGCCAAGGCCTTTTTACTCATATAGCTTTTTGCATGATTTCTGACTTAAACCATCGCTTTGATGTTGTTTTTCACAAATGCATTCATCAGCATTTGTGACCAAGTTCTGAAAGTGTCTAAATTGTGCTATTTTTCTTCTGGAGACCTTCTCATCATCATCAAATATTGGCAATGGGAGTGTCTCACCTCCCAAGGTTTGCACAATTATAGCTATGCAAAATGTGTAAGTTGGGTTTTCCAGTTTTCCTACTTTTTGTCGCAACAAAATCTCAGTTGATAATTTGGCACATTTGTCTTGCGATAGTGTTTCCAGAAGTCCAAAAATTTAACGAGAAAGGTTGTTCTTGGTATGGGTATGTTTACTTCAACATGTATTCAGTCATCTCACACATTACCTTTTATCTAAGCAGCTCCTTTAGGTTTTTGAGGACTGTCATGTATTTAGCAGCACTTTGTCTGCATTAAAGTGACCGGATTGCTTTTTAGCCAGCTGTTCTTTGTTGTGAACAAGTATTGACCTTGTTGTTTGGTGTTTTAGAATAAATGTAGTAGGCACGCTACATGAAAAACATAATGTAGCAGTACGTATTTATGATGATTAGAGAATGATACGCTCTAAAATGTGCTCTTCTTTCCTCTAAAACTGCATTAAAGAAATATTTACTGCAACGCTGTCAGTTTGTTTCATCACTCAACTATCAGTAATTTTCACAAACTTTTGCATGCCACAGTAAAACTGCACCACATAACCATTAATCAACAATGGGCATTAATACACGATCCAAAGTATGAGTAATTTACACAACAATAAGGATGTAACCACAGCATATCTGAAAGTAACATAGCTGTTTTCTCAACGTTGCCAAACTAAATTTTTCATTGCACACTGATTATTATGTGAGAGGCTAATAGTTGTTTTTGCCAAAAGGCATTGCAGGTACATTTTAACACAACTGTTCCCCAGGTAACGTGGTAATTTCAGATACAGAAACTGGTTTGATCAAACGGAGAGATGGGGGTGTGGGTGGGGGCTTTAAACTCAAGAGAGAGCTTTTAATTGTTTCATTGGTATTAGGCTTGTGTAATGGTGCATTGACATGTGCATCACTTAAATCAGAAACTGCAGATGGAGTGCACACTATATCTGCTGCCTTCAGATCGTTGTAATTAGATTTAAGTGCTTCAAGAGTGCTACGTGCTGTGAATAAAATATGCCGGGGAGAGTTTTGTATGAATAAAACACAATCGAGTAGATTTACCTTTTATTGTTTTAAATATGACTAAAGTGCAAATCTTCATATATGATGTCTTGAACCTTAGAAGAGTTTCTCTCCAGCAGGAAAATGTCCAGATCTATGACGTACTAACGAGTATTTTAAATTAGAGAATATTTTGATTAAAAACTCTTTTCATTTTTTTAACATAAGAATTTGAACTTCTACAAAATGTGAACCTTCCACGTTGTTGTCAACAGTCAACTTTTAGCATCAACATTTGCAGAATCTCTGCCAATTTTACAGCACGGCACCACGTTGATGAAGAAACACGATGCGACGACCAGTTGCACAACGGGGAACGAGTGAGTCTCGTAACAATTTACTGGGTGACWACAGGTTAAGGGCGGGAATGAATAATTACCACTGCGAAAACACAGCACAACACAACACGCAAATAACACCAACATCGACAGTGAAATAATGGATTTGCAGGACAAGACTCACGTTTCCACCTCCTGCTGAGTGGCCCCGCCTTTCCAAGGACCCATACCTAGACTTAACATGGCTATAGTCCAGTTTAACACTGGGGATGGGGACCTGCAGGGGCGGAGGTGAGGAATGAGGTGGAGAATTTTTTGGAGGTTTTTTTTTTTTTTTTTGGCAAGTCCTTAAAACAGTCATTTTAATATTTGGGTCTTAAAATAAGTGTGAGTTTCAGTTATTCAGTGAACACATTAAGGCAAGATCAAATTGTAATGCTGCATGTCCAGAGGTATGAATTTTGACCCTGCATTATTAGCCTGTCAAAACACCTGATGTCTCCACAGCAGATTCTTTTACCTCTCTTAATCTTGTCTAAAAGACAAAACATTTTGTAAGAGTGCAATCCATTAAAAAAAAGAAGTCACAGCCAATTGATGTGCTTGTCATACTCATGCAGATTTGTACTGAAAAAGATGTGAGGCTTTAGTTGCAGAATTGTTCAGCAGTTATTTAGTTTTCAGAGAGATTTTTTTCACTTTCTTTTTTTTTTTAATTCCCATAATGTGACACCAGAAGGCAATTTGCCCAGATGAGCGCTGAAATACAAACAGATGCAAATTATAAGCAACTCAGACTTGAGAGTGTAAGCTTAGGGTGAGACGATGATAAAGTATGTGTGTTGTGATGGTGATGAATGAGTCTCAGTAGCTGCAGGAAGGGAAAAAAACAGCAATAAGAAGCAGACAAAGACCTGGTAACAAACATTGTGAGAATAAAGCATTTCATCATATCAAAATGAGGATTAAGTCAAATTTAGTCAAATGACCTAATTACATTTTCAGACTCTTGGCTTTAAAAGCTACATTTTGATACCTGYATCATTCTAATATCATAATTAAATCCATATAAATGGCTTAATTTGTCTTGTTGGTTACAATAATACACAAATATTTGGTCTGAATCCTAATTTTTGTCATTTTAATGAGGAATTTTTGGTGTCCTTATAAAGAGGAAACCTCAAATTACATTTGAATATTGAGATTTCCCCGCTAAAAAGAAACAAAACTTTGCTAACTCACAGGGAAAATCTCAACATTTTAAGGCGTTTTCCTCAGGTTTTTTTGATGCTACTGCTCAAAAAAGTGCTTCAAAATTTTGTTTTATGATTATATTTCAGACAGTTCATTCAAATGATACATTGGTAAGGCATTTATTCATTATATTTTGACAAAATGCAATTTTTGTTAACATTTTAATCAAAACTTTACATTTGCCTTTTTCTCCATATACCACTTTTGGACTTAATCCTCATTTCGATGTGATGGGTCACATATTTGAAGCAATTGAAACAATATTGAAGACCACAAATCCTAAAGTGCAACCTTTCACACTATTTGTGCATAAAATAATACAAGAGCCTTAAAAGCAGTGCTTTAAAACACATTTACCTCTTCTTGTTCAAAAATTATGCGCAGAGCAAAATGTTTATTTTAAAGTAAAACTTTGCTTAACCTTTATGACAAATACTCTTTAATACCTAAACTTTACTTTGCATTTTTAACTTTCTCAACATTACAAGTTTGAGATGTTTTAGTTTGGTTTGTGTTTTTAATCAATCTGTAACCATGAGCTTTTTAATTTCTAAACTTCAACCTGCATTTATATTCCTAAACTTAATCAGTCCCAATAATCACAAATATGTGTTGTTGCCTAAAATATATAAAACCAACAATCCCCGCCTACTCCTGACTGCCAGTATTTAAAGGTCTTAAGTAATGTAAAGGTAAGGTATATCATAATTTTTTATTGTTGTCATTGGTTTTAGTTCATAAAACTTGAATGTGAAGAATGACTACAGTTCAGCTGAACTAATAAAATATACTGTAGCTGTTTAAAGAACTCCAAAAAAAACTTTGCTGCAAACAGTAAAGATTAAAGTGACGTTTATATACATCTTCAACATAGCTGCACAGCAACCATCCTGCATGTAACATTGTTTATTATAACATGCCGTTCATAATGAAGGAAAAGACTTGTAAGTTTTCATGGATGGAAGAAAAAATAACATTACAAGAGAGAATTTTACTTACAGTCGAAGAGAATTTTGAGTCAACTCAGACTCTTTTTTTAGTCACGATTGTTCACACTCTCTAGGAGTCTGGAGTGTGAAACAAACTAGCGGCACAAGTGGAAATGAAAATCACTGACATTTTCTGGGCAAAGGAACAGAAGCACGGTTTAAAGTCATCAGAAACTCACTTGTTGTCAGCTGTAAAATGAAGCAGTGCACAAGTTCAGGACTCATACATGATTAATTAAGATTTGAAGCAAAAAATAATAATGTCAGGGAATGTAGAAAAGAAAATAATAATAATTACAATAATTGGTTGAAGCTTACTAAATTAAGTAATTACGGCTACTACGGATACTATGATCTACCAGGTTTTATGGTACACCAAAATGGTTGGCTGCAATCAAAAGTTAACAACCTACCGTATTTATTCGTGTATAATACACCCCCCCCCTTTTTTTTAGCTTAAAAAGCATAAAAAATTTAATCCTCAAACTACCTCCAATTTCATACAGACTTCAAGAATTTTCAGCCTTTGCAGTCTTTATACATATCAGTAAAATGATCATTGAACTGTTCATTTTATTTTAACAACATATGTACTAAAAGGTATTTTGACAACAAATATTTAACAGCTGTAGCAGCATCATATGAATTCTGACATTTTACACATAGTCCACCAGGAGGRGCCAACACAAAAGTCAGAGACTTCACATGAGATTTGGGCCATCTTCTGGGGGAAAAGCAGATTACTTCCTACTCGGGAGCGCCCCCTCTGGTGGGGAAATGTTTTTTCAGGGATACAAACTTTTTCAGAACACCGGTAGACGGCAGCCATTACAGACTAACATGTGTTTGTTGTTGTTAGAGGAGCGGCTCAGTCACACGCTAATGTCTTTAGTTCGTTATCATTACTAAGGTGCAGGACTACTCTTTTTTCACATCATGTCGCCTGACTGGATCTGTTATTACAGTATCTCACTCTGAGGCAAGAAGGAGTGTCAGAGGTGAGCTCGCTTCAACTGCTTTTTACATCGTGGTCTCATTTCTGGACTCAGGCATTTTGTGAATGAAGCCGATATTTCAGTTAAAATACATAAGTAAAAATATTTATCCGAGTATAGTACTACCCCCCAACTTTATGGATGATTTTATGGATTTAATTTTACGTATTGTACTTGAATAAATACGGTAGTTAAAATTGAGTGATTGCTATTTGAATTTGCTTATATTACTTTAAATGTGAGCTACTACTCTCAAACTAAGGTTACATGAAGAAATTAATAGTTATTGAAATTTAAAAAAACTAACTATAGTAGGGAATAGGGTTTAGTATCAAAGTACAAAACAATTCAAAGCTATGCACAAGCACATTAACTATCCCTATTGTTAGTCAAAACAAATATACATACTTTGGATCCATGTTGTGAGTGCCTCAGATATTCCTTAGTGCTGCATTTTGACAGTAAAAAATGACTGAAGTCCAGCTTCTTGTTTAAAGTATGAATCTATGGGAAAATACAGAAACAGTGTGGACTGCTTATAAAGATGATCTCTTGGAAAAATATTGTTTCCCCTTAAATTATAGTTGTATTATATTATTGAACTGTGTGCTAAAAGATGATATCATATCGAAATTATCTAGAGGTAACGTAATTTTTTTATTTTATCCAAGCAACTTTAAATGTCTTGCTTTCCTTGACAAAAAGTGGTCAGTCGCCTAAACAACTATTTTTTTGATTTTTTTTATTTTTATGAAAAAAAAAAAGAATGAAAGAAGGGTGCTATAAAAAAGAGTGAGGCGGTATACCAGCAGGCCTTGGGTCCAGGTCACTGTGTGTGCTGCTGACAGACAAAGTGTAACAGAGATGAAGCGGAGGACTGACTTCCAGATCAAAGAGCCTCTGTGTCTGGGTGCTGCTGCTGCTGCGTTTTGGTCCTTGTGCTTCTACGAGGACAATCAATGTACAGGTCAGCAGCCAGGTGAAGAGAGGGATGGGCTAAAAGGGGCTGACTACAGAGAACATTGGACTGGATGGAAACAACTATAATTTAGGAGAGGAGCAAATTTTTTCAGTTAAGTAAAATCTGGTCAGGACTAAATTTGCAACTAATCACTGTAAAAACAGGAGAACAATACTCTTGAGAAGCTAAAATTAACAAGGTAAAACAAAAAGTTTTAAAAGAGTACCTTGAAATGTTTAATACCTTCGTAAAAAAAGAATTCCATCAATCCAATAATGGATTTTATCAACTAGTATAACTTTTTTACATATTATAATCAATAATTTGTAGTTACTCGTAATGGAATATCAAAACTTGTTTTGCATTTTTGTTTCCGTAGTAAAAATCTTGTTTATTGATTGCTTTTTTAAATTCAATTTAAGTACAAAAACTTAAAAGAAAATATTGCTTAAGTCTTGTCAGTTTTGACTAAAAATATTGTAAAAATACACACATGCCTGTTAACATCTTCATTCCATGTGGAAGCCCATTTCCGCCACCCTGCTAAAAAATATATATAAAACATGTATCTCATAATTATGACTTAGCTATCTCATAAGATAGCTAAGTCATAATTATGAGATAGCTAAGTCATAATTATGAGATAGCTATCTCATTATTATGAGATACTAAGTCATAATTATAAGATACATGTTTTATTTTTTTTTATCAGGGTGGCGGAAATGGGCTTCCATAATTCCATCCTCTGATTATATGCAACATATATTCTGGGATTAAAAACTTTTTTTGGTTTTTTTTTTTTTTTAATCAGGCAGACTGTGATGCAACAGAGGTTAGAAAACCAGACACTGCCTGGATCAACAACCACCTCTAGGTTCAGACYACCGCTGCCAGCAGCACTTTATGTCTGACAGAAGGTGTCTGGTACCAATGAGGAGTGACAAACACAAAGACACAAGCTTGCATGAGCTGTGGTCCAAAACAAGCACTAAGACCATCCATTCACAGCACCATGAAAGGTAACAGTTATATTTTTTGTAAAGCAACAGCAGGACATTAAACTCACTTAGAAAAATCCTAACCTTAAACTATGAGCAAACATATATTTTACTAGCGAATTTGTGAAACAGAAAAGTTTGGAGCAAACTCCACCAGAGCATATTTGTAGTTTGTGTTACAACTAACACAAGCTCAGAGGTGTGATGAATAAATTGGGTTGAGAATTATGCATTTCAGCATCCATGAGACAACTGCTAAAACCACTCCAATTCAAAAGCCGACATTCTAGAAATAATGATTGTGATTGTGATCCATTGTGCCTTCTTGTACATAAAACATGTAAAAATCAGAGTCCATGGAGTTCGTTTTTCCAGCAGCTGACGTTTGGAACATGATCCCTCCCTATTTTCTGGCTGACTGCACAGAGCAGCTCAGAGACCTGTCAAGTCATAAACACGCCAAGCGAAAGCTTAGATTTCTAATCAGGTCATCAGTGCTGGCTTGTAAAAGCTGATGGCTACAGACACACTGCTGCTTCCATCACATGCTTCATGCGGCAGCACTGCCTTTGAWTTTCAGAGTCAAACCAGAACAAGACATTTGACAAAAACTGGAGCGGTGTGCACTTCCAAACGTCATGCTAATGCGTTTTCTTTGCAGCAACAAGCGGCATAATTTCAAATGCTGATTTGTGCTGGCTCAACCGCTGTCCTCAAATAACAGAGCCAGAAGGAAAACCTCAGGAATAATACTCACTGTTTTTTTTTTTATGCTCAGCAGGATGTCAAAGTCAAGTCAATGTTTGATCAAATGAAATCTAGGGCTGCTGACTGTCATAGTCACAAAAAAAAATAAAATTATCGGACAGAGGTTATTTTGTTTTCTTGAAAACTTTCATTTTCATGCTCATCATATTTCCATCCAAGCTCAACCAAAGCACAAAACTACACTGTTGGTGTTACATGGGAATAATACTGAGTGATATTTTACCAATTTAACAGTTTAAAAGTTGGAAAGCTTGTTTCAAATTCTCAAAAACAAAGCTTTAATAAAAATAAAAAAACAAATACCTCGCACAGAGTGAATATAGCATTTTAAAACYCAGATCAAATAATGTATCTGTCAACTTTTAGCTTATATTAAATATTTTAAATATAAATAAAGAAACACCTCTTATTCCTCCTATTTATTTCTTTGCCTTCAGTATTCCTCAGCTTTCTAACAACCACAAGCAAAAAGCATGGAAATGAAACATAACCTATATATTTTCTCGATTATGAGTTGAATAAAATCTTGTCCATGCTTTAATCTATGCACAAATAATGTAAAATTTGAAGAGAGAGATTTTGTTTTTCCTGTTCACTAGCTAATTCARAGTATTCATGTTGTAATTACTTAACGGGGTACTTGAAGTATTAGCAAAGCAAACTAAGAAAAACATTAGATGTTGACACAATAAAAAGAGAAGGGCTGTAGAAATTTAAACCATGTAAATGGGAGAAAAGATGTGTAAAATAGAAAAAAAATGTAACATAAAAGGTGCTGCAGTATGCTGGTATAAAGGTCTCTTTATGCAGATGATATCGACACGAGTTTGAAGAGGAATTACGTAATTTGCAATGTATGTGGTAAATGTGCTTCCAAAAATAATAATGATTCTTGTCTATGTTTAATAAAAGCCACATTAAAAAATGTGCAGGAAATACAAACACAAGAGACAGGAAAAGGAGTGCAGAGGTGACAGGAATAAGAAAGCGGTTAGGCACCAGCTACAAAGTTTGGGGGTGAGGAAAAAAAAACGACGTCACCTGTCCTCCTTTGGGCTGATACTTGATATTCTCCGTGGAACCAATCTTGGATTTGATGTTCTTAAAGTCGGGCAGCGGCTGGTTGATGATGCGGATTTGCTTGGGAGTGGTTGCAGGAGATTTGGGCGGGGTGCGGATCACGGCCACCTTCCTCTCCTGGGAAATCAAACTGAGGGAGCGCGGGGTCCCAGGAGTCCTCGAGGATGAGGAGTAGCTGGGAGGGCTTCCTGGGGTGATGGCTGTGGAYCCTGGGGTACGGGGGGTGGAGCGGCCACTGCGAGCGGAACGGGAGCGTACCGACTCTGTAACTGATGAGTCAATAAAATGTGGACACATTTTGAACTGTGAGGTTAAGAGCACTTGGAAAAGACGTATAAGAAAACAGTTTGTGTAATCCAGTTTAAAATCATGCCTATCTATTTGGGAATCAGTTCTAGGAAAAAAATAGCATCATGCACTGCAGCAGCTGCTGTCATTTTCTATAGTATCAAAAAATATTTTATTATGTCTCCCTACCTGTCATGCTAGGGGCTCGTCCTATCCTGTGCTCTGCCCTCATCTCAGTGTGAAATGCTGCAGAAAGGAAAAATTCAAAGTAGAAGATAAAAAAAGATTTTGTGTTTTCTGCTGCACTGAATTTTGGATCTGAACAAAGATATGTAAGAACATCAAGATGCATAATTTATACAGAGATTCTTAACCCATGGGCCGCGGCCCACAGCGRCATCCTTAGGGCCTCAAAAGAACAACAGTTTTTAACTTTGGGCCGCAGAGGGCCATGGGACCGCATCGATTTTGAAAAGGGTGCAATACACTTTCTCACCACTAGTAGTGGTAGTGCACCACTCAGTTGTTTAACAACTTTTTTAATGTGTAGAAGAAGAACCTTAGAAACCTGCCGAGAATGGAAACATTTTAAATGAAAAGTAAAAGGCAAAAATGAAAGTAACTCATCAAAAAACACCAAAGTTTGTCACTAATATGAAGTATAGCTTCTGCTTTTACCATGCAATATTTTAAAAGTTCAAAATATTATCAAATACAGTTGCAGATACAACTATACTTTAATTTGTGCTTTAAAATAATTTTTGTAGTTTATTTCTAAACATTTTGAATGTATTTCAAAGAAAATTTAAACTTGTCAAAAAGCTGTTGTTGCTGTTATTGTTTGTCACTAATATGAAGAGCAGAGGGTCTAGTAACTAAGTACAAATACTTTACTTAAGTAGAAATTTAGG